AATATAAGATATTTAAACGAGAAGCACACATTCTTGCATAACAACATAAAGCCCATTCTACATTAGTCGCAAATCACAAAGTCGCAAAGAAATTGACTAATCATAGTCGACTGTTCTTCTTGCGATCGAAGAATAATCAATTATGATTGGTCAATTTCCTTGCGATCTTGCGATTGCGACTAATGTAAAATGGCTTTAGAGGCGCCGCACACAAGTTGACATAACAATAACGTAAGACGTACTGTAAAAATGGACCAATTACAATCGAATATTCACAAAAATGGCGACCTTACGGTTCGACGATACTCAAAGTGATTGGTCAATTCTTACGGTACGTCTTACGTTACTGTTACGTCAATTTGTATGCGGCGCCCCTTAAGCGTGGTATAAAATGAGAACTTAAGCCATAAAATTTAAGCTTTAAGTCCTAAGCCGTAAGAAGTTGACCAATTACAGTCAATTATAAGAAAAATAATTGACTGTGACTGATCAATTTCTTACGACTTAGAACTTAAAGCTTAAATTTTATGGCTTAAGTTCTCATTGTAGACCACGCTTTAGAGGCTTTCTACAATAAGCAATAAGTTTTAAGTCGCAATAAAATTGACCAATTACAGTGGATTATTCTTCTAATAGTCGACTATGATTGGTCAATTTAATTATGACTTAAAATTTATTGCTTATTGTAGAATGGGCTTTACGGAAACCAGCACATCAATTGTTTATCGTGTGCAAACTTTCGTCGCGTGGCAAGCGTTGCCACGTTCTGTGTACAGAAGCCACTATAGTAAAAAAGTAACGATACAAGTAACGATGAATTTCGTTACTCGTTACTAAAGAAAATGTAACGCCGTTATTTTTTCGTTACTGATACAAAAAAGTAACGGCGTTACCAAATCGTTATCAAAAAAAAGTAACGAAATAGTAACGTCGTTACAAGTAACGCGTTACTTCCCAATCCTGGGAATATAAGTATATGTAAGGAGCTTGTACAGTGTCAAAGTATGTGCATCTTCAATATCTTTACCCAGCGAAAAAGGTTACGTCGATTCGACGTCTACTAGATGTCTATATGAAACGTCTATCTGCCATCTACGTCTAATCTAGATTAAGATCTATATCGACCTAAAAACGGTCCACATTTAGATGCTAATAGACCGTCATTTCGACGTCTTTTCGACGTCGATCAATAAGTCATTTCTCACTAGATTGTTTCATAAAAATAACTAATTCCTAATTTTCTTTATGTCTTATAAACTGCTAGAAACCGAAGATTGGTTGCGTTCAGAAAACATAGCTGATCAGTGAGCGGTCAGTGATTATTGGTCCTTACTGTTAGATCCCTAACTTTAGGCCAATTACGTTGACTAATTACTCAACCGTTGTGTAACCGTTGTGTCTTCTGAACGCACCTATTATTAAACACACGCTAAAACTTTCGCGAATCCTGCCTCGATAATTTCGAATTCGAAGTGGTCATCCATCCATCCTGACTGCGTTGCTCCCTTATAGAAATATCATACTAAGAATCATTGATAATTACTTATTTTCAATATTAAAAATACTGGATAATAAGTAATTATCAATGATTCTTAGTATGATATTTATATAAGGGCTTAACCTGACGATCGAGCGGCACGCGGTGTTCCAATGACTCCAATGATGTTCTTACAATTTATGCTTATAAAATATATACTTACAGTGTTCACAGTATATTATAACGTACCTAGCAAATACACGCGTTGATTCGCCTGTCTATTTTATTTAATATCTCTAAAGTTTATGTAGTTATTTGCAAAATAACTTTGATCATTCCTTCCAGTTTCATGTTTTTCGGGTAATCTGACATTCCTATTTTTGTAATACTATAATTGAATCAGAAATCTAAAAAAAAACTGACGTTTCCACTTAGAATAAATTTTTTATGCAAAACGCGCGCGATACCCAATAAGAAATGACTTATTGATCGACGTCGAAAAGACGTCGAATCGACGTCAAAATCGTCAAATAGACGTCGATTCGACGTTTTTTCGATCGATAAATCATTTCTCACTGGGATATTAGATGTCGATTCAATATTGAATAGACGCCCTTATAGAAATATCATACTAAGAATCATTGATAATTACTTATTTTCAATATTAAAAATACTGGATAATAAGTAATTATCAATGATTCTTAGTATGATATTTATATAAGGGCTTAACCTGACGATCGAGCGGCACGCGGTGTTCCAATGACTCCAATGATGTTCTTACAATTTATGCTTATAAAATATATACTTACAGTGTTCACAGTATATTATAACGTACCTAGCAAATACACGCGTTGATTCGCCTGTCTATTTTATTTAATATCTCTAAAGTTTATGTAGTTATTTGCAAAATAACTTTGATCATTCCTTCCAGTTTCATGTTTTTCGGGTAATCTGACATTCCTATTTTTGTAATACTATAATTGAATCAGAAATCTAAAAAAAAACTGACGTTTCCACTTAGAATAAATTTTTTATGCAAAACGCGCGCGATACCCAATAAGAAATGACTTATTGATCGACGTCGAAAAGACGTCGAATCGACGTCAAAATCGTCAAATAGACGTCGATTCGACGTTTTTTCGATCGATAAATCATTTCTCACTGGGATATTAGATGTCGATTCAATATTGAATAGACGCCCTTATAGAAATATCATACTAAGAATCATTAATAATTACTTATTTTCAGTATTAAAAATACTGGATAATAAGTAATTATCAATGATTTTTAGTATGATATTTCTATAAAGGTCTAGAGAGATTGTAAATAATCGACAAAATAAAATTCCTAAATTTTATTGAAAACTCTCTTTTTATGGCCAATATATTATGAATGGATTCTAAAACATTAGAATTTACTCAAAATAGAAGACGTCTAAATTGCCATTTTTCTAGACGTGCATTTAGACTAGACGTAACTTAGACTTCTCCGACGTCGGTTAGACGTCGAATCGACGTCTACGTTCTCGCTGGGTAATGGAAACCCTCTCTTTTCATGACGCTATTTTTCATAACTGACGCTATTTATATAACTATTTTTATAACTGACCTCGTGAGTTCAGCGAAACACTATAATAAAGTATCTGTTTTTCGTTGAACACTTTTTATTAGGCCACAGTTATTAGGCCTAATACCAATGTAGAGCACAAAGTCACAAAGCAGGGATTCGGACTGTACCGAAACAGACATCGATAACCGAATCATAACCGAGTGTTTAGGTCCACTTCTACAAAATCAAGTTTAAACCAAGTTCAGGTGAACGGCCGTTACATTTAACGGAGAGTTAAACTTGTATCGCGATCGACATCGTGTTTTTAACTGTAGTTTACGTAAACCTATAGTTGTTATGAAGAAACTCTCAAAGATTTCTTTTTCTATCTAAACATAGAATGTAATTGGTTACTGAAAAATGAAAAGCGGGAAGATTTAAAGAAGCTGGATGCAGGGATCTATTAGAGAAAAATCTAGTTCCGATGTAACCGCCGTGAAGCACAGACGTGCTTGAAAACGTTTAAACCAGATTTTTTGTAATACGTACCTTTGGTATTTGGATGAAAGGACTAACATAAAAGTCTGTACAGTCAAGTAAAATAAAGAAGAGTGAAAAGAAAAGTGAAGAGAAAAATCTTTTATGTGTTAAATGAAGAGGACACAACGTTTCGTTTATTAGGTACATATAGTCGAATTTTATCAAGTCTTTTAGTTCCTAATATGTCTTCAAAATGATCAGTGCGTTTGTTGTACATTTATGGCAGATTGTTTCGCTTGGAACGTGCACAAAATTGGGAGCGGTGCACTTGGAC